CAAAACCCCAAAACCCCAAAACCCCAAAACCCCAAAACCCCAAAACCCCTTTAGATGGTATATAGCTTTCAAAAGTAATGACTTTACATTAATATAATTCTAAAAATATCATTTAAAGATTAGACTTAATGAATAGAAATTATCAAAGTCTTGATACTCAATCAAGTTAGATAGATCAAAACACAAAAACTGCTAGTGATTCTGATAATGATATGCAGATTATAGATATCTTTATTGAAGAAGAAGCTAGTACTAATGAAAATAATAATTCCAATTAATCTCAACTTTTATCAATCAGTTCTAATAAAATTTTAAAAACTTAATACTCCAAAAGAAGCAGCTTAAATAGTAGTAATTCTATTGTGAATGAGCAATAGATTAAGGTAATATTTTTTAATTATTTAATAATTATAAAATAGAACTACTCTCAATTATTTGAATAAGGAGAATCAACGAGAACAAAAATGAGTGATTAATAAGTTTTATAAGTGGTTGACGGTGAATTCAACTAAACTTCTAATAATCAAGGACTTCAATCAGCCCTTAATCTTAATTCTTCATCTAGCGATCCAAATAATAATGTTTAATAAATGAATAACTAAGAAGTGATTAACACTAATAATGGATTAAACTCTAATGGTCATGATTATAACTTTAGCGGGTCAAATCATAACTAAGATATCAATCAATTTCCAGTTAATTCTAGCTTATCTAGTCATTAAGAGCAAAACCTCAATGGCTATAACTAAAATTCAAGCTCTCTTAATCAAAACTCTCCCCAAAAATAAAGCTATTTAGCTGATCAGAACTAATTCAATCATGCCGGGATTTATTTGGATGGAAATGTGAGAGTTGATGATGGTATTGGCATTGCAGCTGAGCCCAAGTATGTTTAGAAGGACCCTCAAATTTAGGAGAATTTGCAAAGACTTCAAGGCAAGATTAGTCCTTTGTTAGACTAGAAAACTGGTGGTCTCTTAAGTTTACAAGGAATGACAAAGTTAGTTGATGCGATGAAGAGTGAATTTTACTTGGATATTAAATTCTATGAAATGAAGATACTTGCATGTACAGTTGAGTCAGAATGCTTGCAAGAATTTATGAATAAAGGGGGCATAGCTATCTTAGTATAATGGGCTAAGGATATCAGAGCTGCATAATGTCTCAAAGAGTCCGATGAATGGAAACTCAGAAAAGATATTTTCAACCACATGATCACAGCGCTAAATACTTTGCCCATCACTGTGGGGATATTGAAGAAAACAAAGATTGGAAAGGCAATTAATTCAATATTCAAGGTTCAAATGTTTGACAGCTAAACAAATGAGAGCGCGAATTTGCTTGTCAACAGATGGAAGTAGATGGTCAAAGATTATAAAAAGCAAGAATAAGATAAATAAGAAATTGCTAAAAGTAGCGTTTAGTAAGAAAAATCAGATTAAAACTATAATTAATAAAATCCAGAAAATAAGAATATGCAAAAAGCTATTAATTTACCAGCTAAACGCCAGGCAACTTATGACCCTTACTTCTTGGGCTAGGATGATTAGGACCTAAAACGAAGAAAAGTGCAAGATGGATGGAACGAGATCAGCTAGATTATTAGCAGTAGTACATCCAGCAGAGGAAGCCAAAGAGAATCTTAGAATACCAAGTCCTTTGTAGACAATATTCTCAATTCAGCAAATTTACATCCCTAATAAACATCCAGAGGAGATAATAATTTCCCCGCCAATTCTAATTAAAATTTGACTCACACAAGCCCGCAGGCCTATTAATAGAACCAAAGTGCGTCTAATAATAGATAACAGTAGCCTTTCTAGAGACAAAGCTCCTCTGAAAATAACCTAAATCACGGTTAACGCTTTGAAAACTCAGCTTAAACTAGCAATGCATTTACATCAAGCAAAAAGAAATCTGTAAAATGGCAACCAGAGGAGAAATTAGAGATTGTCAAATTCTTCAAAATGAATGATATGCCTAGTGCACCAGGACTGAGTCATGAGGAGGTTTAAGAAATTCAAAAGCATTTAGCGAATGTACCCCCTCATATGATTCCAAGTGAACTTAAAAATATTGAGATGAAGCTTGATCGTGAGAAACTGGAGGAATAAAAGGGTAAAGAGTAGTACAAGAAGGAAAAGCTTGAGAAAATGTAGCCATTATTAATCTATAGAGTTCCTTAATGTAAGAAAAAATTATTTTAACTCAATATTTAGACGTTGACTTAGGCTTGAGCTATAAATAAGCCAGAGGTGAGCAATCAAAAGATGAATAGAACTAAAAACAAAGAGAAAAGACAGTTTTCCAAGCAGTGTACATAAATCCTAATTAGATCCCTCAGAACCCTCTCAAAGAATTAGACGAGCATTATGCTAAGGATGATAAAGTGCCTCAAATAGACTGTGAAATCATTGCCAATGACTACCTCAAGCAAAAAGAAGATGAAAAGTTCCAGAGAGAGATCCTTCAGCTACAGGATGAACTATAGTATCTTGATGAAGGTAAGTCTTTTCCCAAACTTCGCCTTGAATGGCTAATATACGGTCTGCATAAGTCTTTATTCTTTCATCTCCTACTGCAATTAAACCTTAATCTCTCTACTAATGCATACTCATTGACTGATAATACACTGCTTTGGTGTACTTATACTACTAAAACTAATGTCCAATAGGATGATTCCATTATAAACATTTTCTCTAATAATTCTAAAGATTTAAGGAGTATAAGCAGTATTAGACTGTTTTAACTCTGGATAGTTAGCATTAGGCTGACTAGATTGATTGGAGAGAGTGGATGCATGTTATTATTTGATAGTAGTTCTTATTTTAAGCTAAGTAGTTACTTACTAATAACCATTAAATTAAGGTTTACCTTTAAGGTTATGTTAAATAATAAAGCTTAAGATGTTATGTCCAAGCCCGATATATTTGCCATTCATTTAATATTATTTCAAGCCAAAACACATTATATCTTAACCATTTTACAGTTTAGAAAAATCAAGTCTTTACATTTATTGCAAGTAGCACTGATCCAAATTCAGGCTAAAGTCTTAGTCATGACGAGACAATCAGACTCGTTAAATAACAAATAGCCGATTTCAAGCAAATTAATGAAGCTAAAAAAGCTTTGTAGCCTCCGGCCCCAATTGGACCTACACCAATTCAAGCCAAACCTTTCAGGACTGTCCCATGCAGAAATTATCACGGCCCTGTAGGTTGCACAAGAGGGGAATTCTGTCATTTTATTCATGCAGTTGGTTTCGAATGTATGTCATAATAGAATATAAATATTTACCATTTAGAACGAGAAATTCCCAGAGATGTATTTCAAAAAATCAGAAATGAAAACATGAGGAAAAATCTTATAGATGAAATCAGAGAGAGAAACCCTCAAGCAGCAATGATGCTTTAGAACTCGCAATATAATGAGATCCAAAATTATGTTAAACAGTACAATGAAGCGATTGGTGCACCTTAAGCAAATGCTTCTTTGGGAGGTCATAATCCGATGGGAGGAGGAATGTAAAGACCAAATATGATGGTAAGTTTTTCATCAATATTTATAAACTTTAGGGGATGTAAAATCATATGAGACCAAATATGAATAATATGAATCAAGGTATGAGAATGCCAAATCAAATGAACAATGTGGGATAACCATAAACAGGAATGACTAGTTATAACAATCCCATGCAGCAATAATAGTAGCATTTCAATCAATAGAATCAATTCAGACAAAACATGAATCAAATGAACAGTATGGGATCAGGACTTGGAATGAATAGCAGTAATTCAATGAGGCCACCTCTTGTAACATAGGACATGCCAATAAGGCAGATGATGAACAATCAGCAGATGAATCCTCAAGCCGCAATGATGATGAACATGAACCCAAATGTATGTAACTCACTAAATTTACACATTTATATAATCATTGCATGCATTATGAAGTATTAATAATTATCTATAGATGATGAATTAGGCTGCAATGATGAATCCTGCATTGTTGAACCAATAAAACTTAAGAATGCCCATGAACATGATGAATCCTATGATGATGAGGTAGATGTAGCCAGGAGTTGGAGGAATGGGAACAGGTGGAATGTTTAATGGTCAAGGCTAAAATCCTTAGATGTTAAACTAAAATCTAGCTTAAATGGGAGGCAGTAGCCTCGGTCACTAAAATAATTAATGATCAATAATATAAGTTTAAGATTGAAACCCACACATATAAATCAATCATTATCTATCAACTTCAATATTCCTTCAGTCGCCATTTCATCTATAATTAAAGTTTAGACAGAGATGTGTGCACGCTGTATAAAAATAATTAATCTACCTAAATATTTATTAACATTTTACACACAATTTTTCTTCAATTATGCACTTTTGGGGTTTTGGGGTTTTGGGGAGATCGGAAGAG